GGTAGATGTCTCCCAACATGTTTCAAAGATGTACCTTAAAAACATAAAATCATAAAAGTGTTTATCAGTATAAGGTTGTGAAGATTGTTGAGTTTAGATTGATATAATGAGTGGATCAATGTTAGAGCACTATTGAAAACTTGGAAGCACTGGATGGCTGTTTCGTCCCAGTATGGGACTACTCAACAGTGCGAATCCGCGGTCCCACATAAGAGACTTAAACGCATGACCTTAAGTCTCACACCCGAACGCTTAACCTTCAGACTACTGAGACGGCATCCAACGGTGTTAATGTCTAACTTCCACCAATCCTCGATATTGCGCGACCGTCGACCATTGTTTTCGGTGAGTAACAGCCTCACAACAAACACGGTTGAACTCCACTGGTCACGGAAATTCACTAGAACTCCAAAAAATCCATCTTGAAGTTATTCACCAGTAAGCACATGATAATTGTCAGTATAGGGTTTTGGAAATTGTTGAGTTTAGATTGATGTTAGATCATTAAAAAAAACTGACAAGGAGTCCCACACAAGGACGAAACGGCCATCCAGTGCTTCCAGGTATCCAATGGTGGTCTACCACTGATCCATTCATGATAGAAATGTTTGTTGTATATAACTGAAATATTTCACCAGTATATTCACTTTAATCTCAAATAGTAAATAGTTTAGGACAATGTACACAACAGAAAAATCACGAGAATAGCACACCAAAATATGAAGATGAACAGGGTATAGACATAAGTAAACGTTCACAAACATTTCCATGCAATATCGATGTAGACCACTCATCACACAGAATACTGTCTTCGATGCATTTAATCAATAAGACCATAAAATGATGAAACAAAATGATTTAGTGATATTTCAAGCGCTTAGTCACTTTTACATATTACACACATCGAATGAACTGATCGGATTCTTCTACTCTACTAATGAAAAACAACACCCAATCAGTGACCATTCATAGTTCGGTTTCAAACATGATGATCAAATTCATCTTACATCCTTCTCACACACATCCAACCTCCCATAACTCGTCAATTATCAAGTGAAAAGATACACAATCACAACAACGAATTACACAACATTAACCATCTATAAAACAAATGACGCCTAAAACAACATGAACAGTCGAGAATCATCTCTCAGTATTCATCAATTATTCATACATCACCCTAAACTACGAGCCACAACACAATCTCATCTACCACCGGATGCATAATGCATTTCAAACATATTCGATTTATATACAATAAATAAGCAAACCAGAATGCATCACATCATACAATAGAATATAACAATCACAATCAAAATCATACACGATCAAGTGAAAAGCGGTTTTGAGTGTGAGCAACTGTAACGAATAGATGTGAAATTGGTCAACATTGCTGAATCGTATCACAATGATACAATCGGTTAAATGAAATGAATTCAATTACATATAATCTAGCAACTACTGAATTATTACCCACAACAATATACAAACATAAAGAATTCCTAACAGCAATTATTCATTTATTATATCTAAGAATACTACAATACAACACAATTCCAATCAACAGAAATTCATGCTCAACACTCAATTAAATAATCATAAATGATCATTTTCTTCATTTTAAGAATACAGATAAAAATCCATTGAATTATATAGGCCAACCAAATTCGTCATATGATTCGTGAAAAAGAAAAAAAAAAGAAATTTTTCAAAGGCAATTCAACTATACAAGCATTTCACGTGATCTCTAACGTCATTCAATTGCCACACCCACCATAGACGACCTTAACATTTCACTATGGATCGATCAGTTCCATTTTTGTTTACGTTAGTTATTATCTAATATGTTCACAACATAAACTTATTCAATTTAATCGTGAATAAATAAATAAATAAATATAGAACTTCCAATCAGAGAAATCATTTGTACGTGTCGAATATACAATCAATGAATAGAATTGTCGGACAATTCAATTATGTTCTCTGCAATGTCAAGTACTAAATAGCCTGTATAGAGTAAACAGATGTAGAACGTGCGGTAATGATGATGAGGAAAATCCATACGATCATACATAAAAAAGTTGTGTAGTTTTTATAATGTTTACATCGTACGACACGTAGGAAACAGTGATATTAAGTTAATGAATGAATAAACAAGTTAGTGATAAGTTACACAAATATCTGATTAGAAAACATTTGAATGAACGGGTTTTTGTAGTCTATACACATGTGGATTGATCAGTTAATAACAAAATCTGACATGGTTACTGCCTGTTTCAAGCTGATGTCAAAGAGAAAGGTCGGGCATGGTAAACGAAAGAGGTCAAGCAACCATACCCGTAGAAAATAACATTGTTGAAAGAAACGCTTACTAGCATAAACAACTTAAACCACTTAAGATCTGCTCTTGGAGTTGATAGATCTTTATTTAGAAAGATTATGACACCTCAATGTGAAAGCCGAAATACTTAGAAAGTCATAAGGCTGGTGCGTCGTTATACAACCGGAGAAACATTTAATACAGGTACATGGAAATTTCGAATAGTGTGAAGACTAAGAGGAACAGTCAATTAACTGTAGAAATCATTAGATACAACTTGGCGATTCTCGGAAATATGTTGTTTACTACAGGTATTGTTGATAGAGACCCATGCCCGACCTTTCTCTTTTACATCAGCTTGAAACAGGCAGTAACCATGTCAGATTTTGTTATTAACTGATCAATCCACATGTGTATAGACTACAAAAACCCGTTCATTCAAATGTTTTCTAATCAGATATTTGTGTAACTTATCACTAACTTGTTTATTCATTCATTAACTTAATACCACTGTTTACTACGTGTCGTACGATGTAAACATTATAAAAACTACACAACTTTTTTATGTATGATCGTATGGATTTTCCTCATCATCATTACCGCACGTTCTACATCTGTTTACTCTGAACAGGCTATTTAGTACTTGACATTGCAGAGAACATAATTGAATTGTCTGACAATTCTGTTTATTGGTTATACATTCGACACGTACAAATGATTACTCTGATTGGAAGTTCTATATTTATTTATTTATTTATTCACGATTAAATTGAATAAGTTTATGTTGTGAACATATTAGATAATAACTAACGTAAACAAAAATGGAACTGATCGATCCGTAGTGAAATGTTAAGGTCGTCTATGGTGGGTGTGGCAATTGAATGACGTTAGAGATCACGTGAAATGCTTGTATAGTTGAATTGCCTTCGAAAAATTTATTTTTTTTTTCTCTTTTTCACGAATCATATGACGAATTTGGTTGGCCTATATAATTCAATGGATTTTTATCTGTATTCTTAAAATGAAGAAAATGATCATTTATGATTAGTTAATTGAGTATTGAGCATGAATTTCTGTTGATTGGAATTGTGTTGTATTATAGTATTCTTAGATATGGTAAATGAATAATCACTGTTAGGAATTCTTTATGTATGTATATTGTTGTGGGTAATAATTCAATAGTTGCCAGATTATATGTAATTGAATTCATTTCATTTGACCGATTGTATCATTGTGATACGATTCAGCAATGTTGACCAATTTCACATCTATTCGTTACAGTTGCTCACACTCACAACCACTTTTCACTTGATTGTGTGTGATTTTGATTGTGATTGTTATATTCTATTGTATGATGTGATGCATTCTGGTTTGCTTATTTATTGTATATAAATCGAATATGTTTGAAATGCATTATGCATACAGTGGTAGATGAGATTGTGTTGTGGCTCGTAGTTTAGTGTGATGTATGAATAATTGATGAATACTGAGAGTTGAGTCTCGACTGTTCATGTTGTTTTAGGCGTCATTTGTTTTATAGATGGTTAATGTTTTTGTAATTCGTTGTTGTGATTGTGTATCTTGTTACTTGATAATTGACGAGTTATAGGAGGTTGGATGTGTGTGAATGGTGACTTATTGGGTGTTGTTTTTCGTTAGTAGAGTAGAAGAATCCGATCAATTCATTCGACGTGTATAATTGATTATGAATTGTATGTTTCAGAATATTAATTATCTCACTTTCTTCCAAACTGTATATCTTGCTAAGTACATCACTTGGCGACTAAATGACCAAATACACGTCTTTCGATTTGTCGGTTTTTTATCTTTCTTTTGAGAAAATATTTTTTGTGATCTTCATGTTACCAGGTCATAATTTGTGTGTGACAACTGCTTGTATTGATGGATTTTTGTATGAATCAAATGTTGCTTTGTGAGTCCATTTGTTCGAACGATTTTACAGGCAATTTAACGACATTTTTTTAAAATTCTAATTAGTGCTGTTGAACGTATTTCACGTATTATCGTGACTGTTTTTCATCGAACGATATATATATCAACATTCGCATTTTGTTGGACGGTTTTTATATTCTGTGAATATGGTGTTATCTCGTTACCATTACAGACCTGGTAATGATATCCCAATAAATAATTAACAAATATGATTATTGATCATAGTATTTTGTTTATGTATACCTCATTGTATTCTTAATTGTTATCTGATTTCAACATAATACATTTCTTTGTTCGATTTTATAAATAATTTCCAAGAATGTTTCTGGGCATATTGATGCAGTTGTTTCCTACCTTAACTGACTAATTCATAGATTTTTAAAGGTTTTCATCGCTAACTTTAAATATAGACTTTTTTATTCACGTTATGTTTTCTGATGGATGATCATTCGTCTTATTGTACAAACTGTTATACCGTATCAAATAATCATATGTCTGATCACAAGAAAAACAGTATGAGTAACCAATCAAGACTTCAATACACACAGAAAATGAATTAAAGCAGTTTAAATTTACTAATATTTTCTGCATTTCATTTAATGAACCGAACAATGAACTGATTCGATGAAATTCCAATAGCACAACAGATAATCAACAATATACTTAGTGAACACAATTTACAATATCAGAAATTCAAAGTGCCAATTTCACCAGGTTATTACACATTCTAAACATCAATGTCCTTGAGAAATGAGAAAGTTCTTTCATAAGAAAGTATTTTCAACCTGGGCTTAAGACTACAACAGACATTTTGAAAAAAACATATCATTGGATATACAACTTGCTTTGTGACTATTAACTCATCATAATCCAAATCATCATCATCATCCGAATCATCATCATCATCATCATCATCATCATCATCATCATCATCATCATCATCATCATCATCATCATCATCATCATCATCATCATCATCATCATCATCATCATCATCATCATCATCATCATCATCATCATCATCATCATCATCATCATCATCATCATCATCATCATCATCATCATCATCATCATCATCATCATCATCATCATCATCATCATCATCATCATCATCATCATCATCATCATCATCATCATCATCATCATCATCATCATCATCATCATCATCATCATCATCATCATCATCATCATCATCATCATCATCATCATCATCATCATCATCATCATCATCATCATCATCATCATCATCATCATCATCATCATCATCATCATCATCATCATCATCATCATCATCATCATCATCATCATCATCATCATCATCATCATCATCATCATCATCATCATCATCATCATCATCATCATCATCATCATCATCATCATCATCATCATCATCATCATCGTCATCATCAAAATTCAACTTATCATTTCAAAATTAAGAATACGATTCGAAACGATACAACTATCTTAAACATAAAGTTTACTTCTAAAATTAATTATATTTAGATGAAACTTATTAATATGTTAGATACCTGCCTCCCAATAGATTTAAACTAAACGTTTCTGTATAAATGTGGAACTGAATAATATTCTACTTCTTAATTTACATAAAAACATAAATGAATTTTTATACTTGTTTAGTTTCAATATTTTGTGACATTTTGATTAATGTGAAACATTAAGACATTTCGTGATGTTTTACCGATATATTTTGTCCAAAATTAATGTATCGTTACAATCATTACTACCACTTCGACACAAAAATTATTACTAATAATACTACTCACAATAATCACACTAGTACGCGGAATAATAGGAATCTAAGACGGAGGTTGATTATGAATACAGTGGTCTTGAGTGCTTATATTGGAATTCTGATCAGCCCTAATGGGTTGGTGTCTGACGAAATATCAGTACGGATTCGGAAAGTTCTTTCGGCTTTTCATAACTTACGTCACCTATGGCGTAAGACGAGATATCCGTCTATCAATTAACGGACGAGTATAGTGCGCAAACGTTCGTTCGGTTCTACTTCAGAGCTGCGAAACGTAGCCATTGAGAGTAAAAGATACTCGTAACCTACTAGTGTTTGATCACAGATGTCTTAAAAATATTGCCAGCATCTGTCGGGATCACTGAGTCAATAATAGTGAGGTTAGACACTGGGTATTCTGGAATGACGGTAAATCAGTTGATATAATTTATAGTACTACTACGAATAATAGTAATGCAAATATTACTAATACAACCAATATTAAAAACATGAAATATTATTACAGGCGATCGCATGTTCTTCAATATACTGATCATGTATCACTTATTAAACCGTATCATCTATTCCAAAGTTTCACAAATCTGTACACAACGATAAATGAAAGTTAATGTGAATCGTATTGTGCAATGAATTACCAACACATCATCCACTCAATTCACATCATTCACAAATACAATCGATATGAACCCAGTCACTGAACTGACCATCGAATTCTGTGATGTCAGCACCTCGAGTTGAGTACGGATAGTTGGGAGTATTCGATTTTAGAGTAACATTAAATGTGAGTGTACTACTTGACGACAGACTGTAGTAATTTCAACCTCAGTATGAAGAAGATGAATGTTTGTAGTTTGTGAAAATGGAGTGTGTGAACACTGGGAAGTGTATTTGATTCGGAGGTTGACTTGACTTAGTACGAGATATCAGTAGAGAGCTCAGTCAAAATGTGATCTACCAACAGCGTGACAATGTGCAATTACACTGAATTATGTACTGACTTAAATCTCAATCAATCAGTCATTCGAACTGAGATTGAATGAGTGCTGAGTATTGAACTGATCAACTGTGATATTCGGTGATTATAGTTAGTTAATTCGACTGATAATGATTGAGTGATGTGATAGAGACGAAATTTCGATCATTCACTCATTGTCACATGTTCGCATGACGAAGCACACAACTAGTATTTGACTGGAAACGATAGCTTATCAGTTCAACTCCTCTAAATACAATCTGTGAATAGAAACATATTAGAAATAACCACACACTTATTAAGTGAGCTATTCATTCAGAGAAATCTGATGAAATCTATCATGATGAAGAGTTGGTTGAATGCAGAGAAAATAATCGATAATCTCCAGGTTACTGGAATATTCATGTTTATTCTATCACTATAACTAACAAGTTTGAATTCTTCACCTTTAAATTAGAGGACAGAGAATATAGTTCATGTTAAGGACATGTGTACATAGTGATTATGTGTTATATTCACATTGCTATCTATTGTATAAATCAATGATTTAAATGTTTGATATCATGTGTCAATTGAAGTTAGACCACCACGGAAAACGTGGAAGCACTGGACAGTTCACCCAGGTTTTCCATGATAGACTAGCCTCAATCGACACATGATCTCAACTATTGAAATTACTATAATATCCACAAAAAACGCCTTCTGATATTAAATCAATGATTATTATCAGAATGGGTTTTGTGGAGAATTTACGAAATTTCACAGGTTTTTAAATCATGAGTCAGTTGAAGCTAGACCACCATTGAAAACCTGGAAGCACTGGACGGCCGTTTCGTCCTGGTATGGGACTCCTCAGCAGTGCGCATCCACGATCCCGCACTACGCGGGGCTCGAACCCGGGACCTACTGGCTTTGCGCGCGAGCACTTAACCATTAGACCACTGAGCCGGCATCCAACGGTGTTAATGTCCTGGGTTCGAGCCCCGCGTGGTGCGGGATCGTGGATGCGCACTGCTGAGGAGTCCCATACCAGGACGAAACGGCCGTCCAGTGCTTCCAGGTTTTCAATGGTGGTCTAGCTTCAACTGACTCATGATTTAAAAACCTGTGAAATCAATGATTGTTATCATTTTGTGTAGTTGTCTTTCAATTAGATTTGTAAATGATTTGTGTCGAACTGATAGAACGTATTAATGTGAGTGAATAAATGATTAATGATTTAAACTGTTTGATATACTATTTGTGTTTTTCGTTAAGTTAACGAGGAAACGGAATGCAGTTGTATGCTAATTTTACTGTTATTACGTAGTTTCTGTCATAAAACCTGACATGATACTGATATGGCTACTTGTTATAACTGTAAGAAAACTAGTTGTTACTTCTTACACATAACTAATCGTATTGCCTACATGACTCGGTGAAACAAAGTAAACATTATCAATAAATATTTATTAAGCACCAATAATAAATCGGTAATAAACTAACTAATATAATTAAATATGTTGAGTTATATATCAGTCACTAATCTGACCAACCAACTTTCAATACATTGAACCAGGGTAGTCTCGGACAAAATTAGGCAATATCTTAATGTCAGTGTACAATTTACATTATCGACTAATTAAAATGTTTCATTTACTGATTTCTTACTAACAGCATCTCATGATTAACTTATATGTAACTAATTCGATTTACCTATCTTTGAATTTAGCCTTAGTTTCGTTCGTTTCTAATCAGTTTATATTTGCTGTCAAACTAAAAACCAATTTGATGTAGTTCTTAGAAGATGGGGCATTTTTCAGAGCAAAGTACAACTACGTATATTCTATTCAAACAGATGATTACTATACAAGTATATCATTTCTTACGTTAAAAACAAGAATATTTAAAACTAGCTTCAGGGGAGCTTCTGTTATACTCTGGCCATGAAGAAGAAAATGCCCCACATACACAAGGAGTTGCATTGATGCTATCCAAACAAGCACAAAATACACTTATAGGATGGGAATATCATGGACCAAGGATCATCTAAACCTCCTTCAATACAAAGAAAGAGGGCATTTAAATGAACATCATTCAATGCTATGCGCCTACTAACGACTACAACGAATACATTGAAGATCAATTCTACGATGTGCTGCAGTCAATCATCGAGAAGCGCCCAACAAAAGACCTGACCATTCTGATGGGAGACCTGAATGCCAAGGTTGGAATAGACAACACCAGATATGAAGACATCATGGGACGACACGAACTGGGAGAAAAGAACGAAAATGGTCGGAGATTTGCAAACCTATGTGCCTTTAATAAACTGGTCATAGGCGGCACCATATTCCCACATAAACGCATTCACAAAACCACATGGACTTCACCGGATCACACCACGCGAAACCAAATCAACCATATTTGCATCAACAAAACGTTCAGAGGACTATAGAGGACGTGAGAACCAAGAGAGGAGCTGATATAGCATCAGATCATCACTTGCTGGTCGCCAAGATGAAATTGAAACTCAAGAAGCACTGGAAATTGGGGCGGACAATATCACAAAAGTTCAATACGGCCTTTCTTCAGGATACTGACAAACTCAACGAATTCAAGATAGTCCTCAGCAATAGTTTCTAGGCCTTTCACAATCTACTCAATGTAGAGGGAACTACTATGGAGAGCAACTGGAAGGGGATCAAAGAGGCAATCACTTCAACATGTCATGAGGTTTTGGGCCACAAGAAGCACCATTACAAGGAATGTGTCAATTTTGATACACTGAACAGAATTCAAGAAAGGAGGAACAAGAAGGCAGCAATCAATACCAGCCTAACAAGAGCAGAAAAAACCAAGGCACAAGCTGAATGCACACAAGTAAACAAGCAAGTGAAGAGGAGCATCAGAACTGACAAACGTAAATATGTGGAGGATTTAGCGATGAAGGCGGAAAAGGCTGCAAGAGAAGGAAACATATGACAATTGTATGGTACAACAAAGAAGCTCGCTGGAAATCGCCGTAAACCGGAGCGACCAGTGAAAAGCAAGGAATGCAAGGTAATCACGAACATTAAAGAACAGAGAAACAAATCAGAAACAACCTACTGTTGGAGAGAACAAACCAGATTCCAGTGGAGGAAGAAACCAGAAAGAATCACTGGAAGGGAATGGGACATAGATTGACGAAAGCACCCAATTGCACCTCAAGCCAAGCCCTCACATAGAATCATTAGGGCCAAAGAACACATTGCACCGAGAAATGGAGACAGGCATGAGAAGAATGAACAACAGTTGAATAGAACTAGAAAGGAAGGCTGAGGACAGAGTGAGTTGCTGAATGCTAGTTAGCGGCCTATGCTCCATTGGGGGTAACAGGCGTAAGTAAGTAAATCAGTAAGCAAGTAATAAAAACACCATCAGTATGTAGAATACAATTTTGAGGTAATTAAGTGATTTTATCGATACGTTTATTTATTAGGATTTTGAATCGTTTACTAATAGAATGAATTGTATCTCATCTTTGGTTATTCAGAGATTTATTTAACATTAACATCGCATTAATTATATAAACATGAAGATCAAATTGTGATATTTTATGAAGACAATGATAATAATTCCTCCCAGGGGGGCGAGGTCGTGGATGCGCGCTACTGAGGAGTCCCACAATAGGACAAAACGGCCATCCAGTGCTTCCAGGTTTTCCATGGTGGTCTAACTTCAACTAACTCATGATCTTAACCATTGAAATTACTAAAATATTCACAAAACCCATCTGACATTTACATAAACACTAACACGAATTGATGAATATCATATTCATTTTGTGTGAACTTATTTTCGCAACACGTTATTGATTATTTGATGGTGACAATAATAATGTGTTATCTCTAGACTCGATTTATAAGGAACCACTTAAAATTAGTGATAT